CCTACAGGAAATGTCACCCATTGTAGTATCCCCCACAGGAAATGTCACCCATTGTAGTATCCCCCACAGGAAATGTCACCCATTGTAGTATCCCCCACAGGAAATGTCACCCATTGTAGTACCCCAACAGGAAATGTCACCCATTGTAGTATCCCCCACAGGAAATGTCACCCATTGTAGTACCCCCACTGGAAATGTCACCCATTGTAGTATCCCCCACAGGAAATGTCACCCATTGTAGTATCCCCCACAGGAAATGTCACCCATTGTAGTATCCCCCACAGGAAATGTCACCCATTGTAGTACCCCCACTGGAAATGTCACCCATTGTAGTATCCCCCACAGGAAATGTCACCCATTGTAGTACCCCAACAGGAAATGTCACCCATTGTAGTATCCCCCACAGGAAATGTCACCCATTGTAGTATCCCCCACAGGAAATGTCACCCAGGAAATGTCACCCATTGTAGTATCCCCCACAGGAAATGTCACCCATTGTAGTATCCCCCACAGGAAATGTCACCCATTGTAGTATCCACCACAGGAAATGTCACCCATTGTAGTATCCCCACAGGAAATTTCACCCATTGTTGTATCCCCCCCAGGAAATGTCACCCATTGTTTTATCCCCCACAGGAAATGTCACCCATTGTAGTATCCCCCACAGGAAATGTCACCCATTGTAGTATACCTCACAGGAAATGTCACCCATTGTAGTATCCCCCACAGGAAATGTCACCCATTGTAGTATTCCCCACAGGAAATGTCACCCATTGTAGTATCCCCCACAGGAAATGTCACCCATTGTAGTACCACCACAGGAAATGTCACCCATTGTAGTATCCCCCACAGGAAATGTCACCCATTGTAGTATCCCCCACAGGAAATGTCACCCATTGTAGTATCCCCCACAGAAATGTCACCCATTGTAGTATCCCCCAAAGAAATGTCACCCATTGTAGTATCCCCCACAGGAAATGTCACCCATTGTAGTATCCCCCACAGGAAATGTCACCCATTGTAGTATCCCCCACAGGAAATGTCACCCATTGTAGTATGTCACCCACAGGAAATGTCACCCATTGTAGTATCCCCCACAGGAAATGTCACCCATTGTAGTATCCCCCACAGGAAATGTCACCCATTGTAGTATCCCCCACAGGAAATGTCACCCATTGTAGTACCCCAACAGGAAATGTCACCCATTGTAGTATCCCCCACAGGAAATGTCACCCATTGTAGTACCCCAACAGGAAATGTCACCCATTGTAGTATCCCCCACAGGAAATGTCACCCATTGTAGTATCCCCCACAGGAAATGTCACCCATTGTAGTATCCCCCACAGGAAATGTCACCCATTGTAGTATCCCCCACAGGAAATGTCACCCATTGTAGTATCCCCCACAGGAAATGTCACCCATTGTAGTATCCCCCACAGTATCCCCACAGGAAATGTCACCCATTGTAGTACCCCCACATGGAAATGTCACCCATTGTAGTATCCCCCACAGGAAATGTCAGGAAATGTCACCCATTGTAGTATTGTAGTATCCCCCACAGGAAATGTCACCCATTGTAGTATCCCCCACAGGAAATGTCATTGTAGTATCCCCATTGTAGTATCCCCCAGGAAATGTCACCCATTGTAGTATCCCCCACAGGAAATGTCACCCATTGTAGTATCCCCCACAGGAAATGTCACCCATTGTAGTATCCCCCACAGGAAATGTCACCCATTGTAGTATCCCCCACAGGAAATGTCACCCATTGTAGTATCCCCCACAGGAAATGTCACCCATTGTAGTATCCCCACAGGAAATGTCACCCATTGTAGTATCCCCCACAGGAAATATCACCCATTGTAGTATCCCCCACAGGAAATGTCACCCATTGTAGTATCCCCCACAGGAAATGTCACCCATTGTAGTATCCCCCACAGGAAATGTCACCCATTGTAGTATCCCCCACAGGAAATGTCATCCATTGTAGTATCCCTCACAGAAAATGTCACCCATTGTAGTATCCTCACAGGAAATGTCACCCATTGTAGTATCCCCCACAGGAAATGTCACCCATTGTAGTATCCCCCACAGGAAATGTCACCCATTGTAGTATCCCCCACAGGAAATGTCACCCATTGTAGTATCCCCCACAGGAAATGTCACCCATTTTAGTATCCCCCACAGGAAATGTCACCCATTGTAGTATCCCCCACAGGAAATGTCACCCATTGTAGTATCCCCCACAGGAAATGTCACCCATTGTAGTATCCCCCACAGGAAATGTCACCCATTGTAGTATCCCCCACAGGAAATGTCACCCATTGTAGTATCCCCCACAGGAAATGTCACCCATTGTAGTACCCCAACAGGAAATGTCACCCATTGTAGTATCCCCCACAGGAAATGTCACCCATTGTAGTATCCCCCACAGGAAATGTCACCCATTGTAGTATCCCCCACAGGAAATGTCACCCATTGTAGTACCCCAACAGGAAATGTCACCCATTGTAGTATCCCCCACAGGAAATGTCACCCATTGTAGTATCCCCCACAGGAAATGTCACCCATTGTAGTATCCCCCACAGGAAATGTCACCCATTGTAGTATCCCCCACAGGAAATGTCACCCATTGTAGTATCCCCCACAGGAAATGTCACCCATTGTAGTATCCCCCACAGGAAATGTCACCCATTGTAGTATCCCCCACAGGAAATGTCACCCATTGTAGTATCCCCCACAGGAAATATCACCCATTGTAGTATCCCCCACAGGAAATGTCACCCATTGTAGTATCCCCCACAGGAAATGTCACCCATTGTAGTATCCCCCACAGGAAATGTCACCCATTGTAGTACCCATTGTAGTATCCCCACAGGAAATGTCACCCATTGTAGTATCCCCCACAGGAAATGTCACCCATTGTAGTACCCCCACAGGAAATGTCACCCATTGTAGTATCCCCCACAGGAAATGTCACCCATTGTAGTACCCCCACAGGAAATGTCACCCATTGTAGTATCCCCCACAGGAAATGTCACCCATTGTAGTATCCCCCACAGGAAATGTCACCCATTGTAGTATCCCCCACAGGAAATGTCACCCATTGTAGTATCCCCCACAGGAAATGTCACCCATTGTAGTATCCCTCACAGGAAATGTCACCCATTGTAGTATCCCCCACAGGAAATGTCACCCATTGTAGTATCCCCCACAGGAAATGTCACCCATTGTAGTATCCCCCACAGGAAATGTCACCCATTGTAGTATCCCCCACAGGAAATGTCACCCATTGTAGTATCCCCCACAGGAAATGTCACCCATTGTAGTATCCCCCACAGGAAATGTCACCCATTGTAGTATCCCCCACAGGAAATGTCAGCCCCATTGTAGTATCCCCCACAGGAAATGTCACCCATTGTAGTATCCCCCACAGGAAATGTCACCCATTGTAGTATCCCCCACAGGAAATGTCACCCATTGTAGTATCCCCCACAGGAAATGTCACCCATTGTAGTATCCCCCACAGGAAATGTCACCCATTGTAGTATCCCCCACAGGAAATGTCACCCATTGAAGTATCCTCCACAGGAAATGTCACACGGGAATTTTCATCGGAGATATTTTTCCCTAATCAGGTTTTTTAATTTGATGAGAGCGAAGACCCGCGGACATATTGGTGCTCGTCCGTTTGACTTTTTGTCTGCACGCATCTTTGACTCATATCTTTCCAAATACTAAGAGGCAATGCATCCATATCAGACATGTATATTCTTGTGGATAAAACTTATCATTTGACACCTAATTTAATGACTTTCTAATCTATTGAATAGTTTAAGGATTAAATAACTTCAGAATGTTTATCAGCTTTGAACCAATGTTGGCATTTCGCTGTATGTCAATGAGATCTTATATGAGTTTGATATTGTCAATATCCATCAAATTCTGACTTTAAATCCTTGAAATATGTTATTTCTTCGTTTCAGTCCAATAATTTTTTATTGACAGAAATTAACCCAATTTCACATTAGCGATATCTCGGAACGATATTGGCATTGGACAAAATCCTTCAACATTTGCCAAAGTTTCTCAAAAACTTTTAAAATATTAAAATATATCATTTCTTTATTTCCGTCAAATAATTTTATTTTTAACGCAACATAGGAACCAACTTTGGTAAATTGCTTGATGTTAAAAAGAGTTCGTCATTATTTGCCAGAGTAACACGACTTTAAAATCCTTAAAATAGATCATTTCTTCGTTTCACTTGAATCTCAATTGGGTCAGCTTTGAACAAAATTCGGCGTACAACATGAACTCCATATCTATGACATCCTGGATGTACTTGATAATATCTTAAGTCTATACAAATGAGACCGGCCCTATCCGTCAGTATTTGATTTTGGCATGTTGTAAAAAGAAAAAAAAATGCATTCGACTAAATATTCCAGCCCTCATTTTTTATTAGCTTTCATGAACGGCTCTCCCCTCAATCTGCATCCATTTTCTCTTCCTTTTAATGTAACTGAACATGTCGTAAAGTTTTCTTAAGATAGAGATTAAGTTGTGGACTGACCCATAATTCGATCAATCTCGTTAGTAGCATGGTTTTGACGTGAATGACGGTACAACGTCACCCATTTCTCCGTTTTGTTGAGTATTTCCCGACCGACATGCGCATATACTTTCTATCGACATTTGATGTTTAAACTTAACCAAAGAATATCTGTATTTGAGGTCCAATGTTGTCATATCTGATGTCCATGACTTCTACATCAACAGATCAACAGACATTTTTTTTTTTTTTTTTTCATTTTCAAATTGAAAGTGATTCTATTATCTTACTTGTATGTTACGTGTCTCTAGCCAGTATTAAACAAAATTACCTCGTGCACACGTGAGTTTGAACATATGAACAACAGAGAAATTAAATAACGCCGTTGAAAGGTAAAACAAAATATTTGTAAAAATTTAACTTTTTTTATTCCGAGAATAAAATACATATACAATTTAAATCATCACATACTTGCTTTTCAACTATTAACAATATATAAAATTTAACAAAAGCATTTTCATAATATTTTATATTTTTATATGCCAAGAAAGACATTTTTAATAACCTTATATATTTACAATCATGTTAATAATCCAATGATATAGGTAACAGATATAAGTATTTTCAGTGAGTAATATTATATATTGTAACGACATTTTGGAAAACACGATTTTGTTTAAACAATATTTCGTACCATTGAGTTCCAAATTAACTTTTTGAACCGGGAAAAATAGAGATAATATCGCGCATTCCACAAATAGCCAACAAACTTACAAATGCGTTATTGAATATGAATTACTTATAGCATATTGCAACCGGAAGTCCTAAAGACTAGCAATGCACATGCGCAGTAATGAGACGGCCTGTGTTTACAATGTAAATCCATTGCTACAGAGAGATATTACGTCTACAACATATCAAACTAGTTAAGTATAGTAAAAGCATCAAAATGATATAATATGCTAGTTGTGACACCAATTAAAATGTCATACGCTAAATGGGTTCAGATTTTGCAAGTATAGTTACTGAAAATTAATGAAATACCTACAGAATATATCATATATACTTTTAAGTATTGTAAACATCCTTTGACGCCGGCGAATTTCTATTAAAGAGAATCCCACTGATGGTTTGTCATTTTTCCCTCTAATTTTTAAAATCGTTGAAATAAAGCAGATTGGAATGAAATATCTGTCATAATTATGTCAGTTTCTCTGTGATGATAAACAAATAAAAAAGTTTACTTGAGCACTAGAAAGAAATCAAAGTGAACAATTTCCAGGCCAGTCATTGACCAGATTCCAGAAGCACATTTGATAAAACCTTAGGCGAACGGTTATATATTGTAAGTCTTCTAGGATCACATCGACAAATTGTCTGCTGAACAAACGTCAAGGAGATGCAGGTGATTGACACTGTTACATGACATATACACGAAATGTGGTGATGTTTACTTCGCCTACAGATACGTATACACATAACATGGTGACGTATTGGACACACAAACAAACAGATCCACAACAGTGCTGCTGACTTTTGACACATCTTTCGCGGTGTTTGAAAGAAATGACGTTCACGTCTCTAACGGGTAAAGGAACTGTTGACAACCCTGTTCCCTACCGGTAGAGGAGGGCGGTAATTGTTGACAATATTAGCTCCTTCAGAGTCTTGAAGCAATCGGAGTGATCCCATCTGTCATCAATAAAAAAAAATATTGATATCAAAAACTGCTATAAATAGTTTAAAACCACAAAAATACTTACAATAAAATCATTAATTTTCGTGAAAGATTTATTTTCATTGGTTTTGTGGTCACTTTTAACCCACGAATTTATACTGTTACATTACGTAAAAATGAAACTTATTAAGCTATACTTATCGATGAAATAAAGTATCCACGAAAAAGTTTTTTATTAAAATGAACGACACGAAAATTAATTCAGTATGTTGATTTTGATTCATCACTGACAAACTATCACATTTTTTTTTAAGATACATGTATAAAAATGTACACAGTATAAACAAGCATGTCCGTCTTGATATACTACGCAGTATGTTTTATGTATGGAAATCCAAAATCAGGCGAGTCGAAATATGTAAGTTGTTTCTCAAAATATCGAATAACAAATGGGTAAAGGCGAGATGGATAAAGGAAAAGTGTACAGCATGCCTTCTATATGACGCGAGATTTACAGTCATACGTCAAATGAATCAGGCGTATGGCCCAGCAATACGGACGTCAAACTGCGGGAGACTCGGACGTATGGACCAGCAGTGCGGACGTCAAACTGCGGGAGAGTCAGATGTATGGCCCAGCAGTGCGGACGTCAAACTGCGGGAGAGTCAAACGTAAGGCCCAGCAGTGCGGACGTCAAACTGCTGGAGTCGGACGTATGGACCAGCAGTGCGGACGTCAAACTGCAGAAGGTCATTCGTCTGAAGAGTTTGTCGTTCTTTCCAATAGTTTGAATGTTAAATGTCGAAAAGAGATTTTGCATGGAATGATAGTCTTCAAACGGCAAACGTCAGTAGCGTCAGACATATTGTGACGTCACAGATCGGAAAAGTCCAGTTTTGTGTACCCACCTGTTCTTCGGATATCTCCAGTGGTGTCTGGAACACTATCCACGTGACACTCTCAAACAGTGGTGGGGTAGTGAGAGACCCCTTGTACGTCCAGTATGTCGACAAATCTGTTAATACAAAACCGCTGACTTTAATACTCGCCTATTTTCCCGTGGTATTAATATTTATACAACAGCAAACAACAGCTTTTAACTTAGATTATATAACAGTTACCTCCCCTCCCATATTTACCAGAAAACAAGATTATATAACAGTTACCTCCCCTGCCATACTTGCCAGAAAACAAACATCGTGGATCAAAAGACTCCTCCATGTTGGTCTTTTTTCCCGTCATCATTACATTCCCAAGACCTTTTGCAATTTTTTCAAACCCTTTGTGACTCTTTCCAACCTGAAACAATAAACATGTACATGATGTGCATTTTCTTCTCGTAAAAGTCACTTTGCAGCTCCGTTACAGATAATCAATTCACCATAAACATTCAATTTCATTTCATATGGCTAAATATGTTATATTTATTTTCTACTGTTCCCGCTTTACCACGGCAGTGTCGATATTTACACTAACCATGCACCTTTGTCGCCACAACATATTATAAATACATTTTTTCCGAGACTCTCAAATTGCATTTTATTCACAATAAAAAATTCTACTTAACGGGAAAATTGGATCAGTGCACCAATTGTATCCAAGAAATCAAGGAATGAAAGCAAATCATGTCACTTAGATTCATTTGTGGACACAGAAATTCGTGATTTGAAAATACGTGAATCTACAAACCACGAAAATTACAATCAAGCGAAAATTACTGATGTTACAGTAACTATTTACACTCGTTGATCCCGTACCTAAAAACTAACAGTGTATGGTGGCACTCTTTAGCAACACAATATAGCTATTGACACTAACACTAATCATGCCCTTTTGTGCCCCCCCCCCCCCCCCCTCTCTCTCTCTCTCTCTCTCTCTCTCTCTCTCTCTCTCTCTCTCTCTCTCTCTCTCTCTCTCTCTCTCTCTCTCTCTCTCTCTCTCTCTCTCTCTCTCTCTCTCTCTCTCTCTCTCTCTCTCTCTCTCTCTCTCCCTCTCTCTCTCTCTCTCTCTCTCTCTCTCTCTCTCTCTCTCTCTCTCTCTCTCTCTCTCTCCCCCCCCTCCCTCCCCCCATCTCTCTCCCTCTCTATCTCTCCCTCTCTCCCTCGACTCCATACCTTCACCATGAATCCAAACACTGCCAGTCCGTCCGTTTTATCTGCGGCGTTGGCAAAAGTTCCATACTTTGAGTTGTAGTGGACAAGGTGAAGCTAGTAAATAAAAGTAAAAATTGTTTGATAAAAAAATCCAATAAAAATATGTGCCAAGTATACAAGTGTTATTTTATATAACCTAAAACAGTTTTGCTATCGACAGTAGTTGAATTCTCGGTCATGCTATACGGATCCGAGTGAATATCTCATTTCCGCTAGGAGGTATTTCCAATATCTTATATAACGTGTAGTGCAAAGAGATTTCGGTTCAAAGGGTTGAAAACTGCCTTTGTGTGAAATGGTATGTGGACTTCAGGGACTACGTTCGGATACACATCGTATTCACGATTGACATATTATTCCACTGTCTCACACGTGTACATGATTCATAAAAGATTCGCAGAGAAAAAAATGGTTGAACGATACGCTTTAACTACTAAAGATTTAAAACATTTTAACAAATTGCTGTAACACCGGACAGCATCCAACATACCTCTGCATCATACATCTCTCCGTCGATAGTATGTTCCGACCCCTGTCCTTTATTTTTCCCCCAATGGAGATGGAACTGTTCTAACAGATAGGTGCCCTCCAAGGGACCGCCGCACAATTCTGTAACGAAAAAAAAAACATTATGATAACAGAACAAAGATACATCGTTTTCGTCGGCTCTCTTTGAAATCATTTAGGTTGCAGAACACAGTTTCTCGGTGTGGCCATGGGTGATTTTTTTTGTTCGTTAGATTACCCCATTATCAAGGTTTAAATTTAAATTTTAAAAATAAATCCTTGATAAAATTGATCTTATCATGTTGAAGTGGACAATGTGGGGTTTCATTTTTTTCGGATTAACATTTTAGCTTTGTGTTGGAGATTACTATTTGGGCAGTGTCGAATCTGTGTCTACGCACCAAAAACTAGCTTTACAGGAAGTGAAATTTTCATAGTGTTTACATGTGGTTATGTTATGAAGGATTTCCGAGTTGGAATTTGCTGAAATGTAAGTACTTTGTTACCAAGACAGTGTTGTTGATTTTAAGGTTGGTGTTTATATTTCAAAAAGAAATAAATTTCTTCTATAAAGTTGTAGTTTTAGGTTGGAATTAGCAGTATTTTTGCATTTTTAGCATTTTTTCAGTAGGTAACCATGGCAATCACATGTCAGAAATCAGAAGAAAAGTTTTATTTACACAAATTTTATCTCTACTATCAATGTAATTTTTATGTAGTTTATAAATATATGTAATGTAATGATGTATTTTTCATAACAAAAGTGCTATACCTGTATATCTCAAACATGACCAATAATTTCAGAAAAATTCAAATTAACTTTCCTGCTACCTTAAAACGTTCACTGATCTTAATTGTCTAGTGGCTTACCGGATCTTTCCTTCATTTGTGCCTTGACGGAATGGCCATTGTTCTCCAACTCCATGTTGGTCTCAGCTTTGTAGTTCACTTGGAACGGGTGGTCGGGGAGAGTAGGGTCAAATTCGGCCTGGGCAGTCACAATGTCTATCGGGGACTGACGTTTGCCGTCTTTAGCAATGGCGTAAGATTTGTACCAATGATCTGGTCCTGTGAACAAAATGTTGTTTGAAAAAACATGTCATTACCGTTGAAAGGAAAACAGGAATTTCGAGATACCGAGTTTTTTTTTCGATTTTAATGGACCCAAAAATTGTTTTCAATATACGATGCGGGATTTGATGGGCCTTGGCACAAAACCAGTTTATCATTTTGTTTCCTTATACGGCCCTGACTTTCTTGGACATTGAACGAGAAAACAAAAATCAATTTTTTATAAAGACGACCGAAGTTGAGGTCTTAAACCTTTCGAATACGTTTCCAGGTCTTGTGATATAAATGAAAACCTTTGAAAATTCCACCTGTCTTATATGATTGCAACCCCAATAGGAATTTAAATTATTTCGGACAAAAATTTTGACAAGATTTAGTTTTGTTTTTGTTTTCAATATTTTGTTATGATTTTGAAGAAAACTATTTTTTCTTAATAGAAGTAGTACTGATATGTGTATAACGAAAGATACGATGCATAGTCACCATGGCAACAGAACGAGTTATAAAGATTGTTATAATTTGTTTTGACATATACCGTTAATTCACAACTGAGAGTAAGATATATTGATATACCTGTGTTGACTTCCGTTTTACTTCTTTGACAGTAGAAAAACTCATATAAGGTAATGGATCACATTCACAATATCTAAAAAAATGTTTTACATACAGATACAGGTACCAACAAAAAGCTATATAAATATACACAGGATTTCAAGATGGAAACCGCTCAAACGGTCACTCTAAAGGTATGCCTTACCGACTGTCGCTCATACCAAGAGAAATAACAGACTGGAATCCATGTGACGTCACCCAGAGCAATATATTTGGGCGTCTTTCACTCGAACAAAACAAGCGGGATTCAACTTTTACAAACTTAATGAGAATGCATTGACCTCTTTGTAGGATAGGTCAAACTACTCAGCTGTCCTAATGATAGGGTGCAATGAACCCGTCCGTGGGTAGAAGGTAAAATGCTCACCCTGCCCTGCAGGTACGGAGCAAGATTGTTAGGGCTTCTTTCTGAATAACCCTGTTTTTCCAAACTCCTCACCTGACAACACTGTTGTTTTAATTTTGAGTTATTGTCGCGTGATATTGACTATGATTTCTATCCCTAAACTGATTAACTTTCATCTTTCATCCCTGATTGTCAGTATAATGTCACCGAGTCAGATGTAATGCTTCTGCACAACTATACCAAAACTATGACATTTCAGTGTGATGACACTATGAAGTGTTTTAGTCACTAGGGTGTCACAAGGTATTGCGCTGTGCTACAGTGTCGAGATATTGACATTTCAGTGTGACGACACTTTAAAAAGGTGTCCGTCAGTCACCCCATGATTCGTGTTTATCGCGTGATGATCTGTTTCTGAAAACACTTACCATTGTTGTTACCGTATCCCCAAGCGTGACTCATATTTGGAGTAGATTGTTTGTCTTTTCTTGGTGTAGAAATTGATACTTGGACGAACCACCCTGTAAAACAGAAATACACATTTTAGTGTCAAGTATAGTACGTGTGTGTACTCGGTAACTCAGACACACGTGTAAATGTCAAGTTAAGTACGTTTTTACACGTGTGTACATTCGGTAACACCGACAAACACGTGTAAATGCCAAGTATATTGCGTGTGTGCATCCTGCAATTCAGAAATACATGTGACAATCACATGTGTGTCTCCTAAAAATTCTCGAGTTTGTGTGCACACAGAACAAAAATTATTTAGGACAATTTCGATTCGCTATTATGTTAAAAATCATATAATTTGACTAAATGGTTTGCAAACAGCCATTGATGTAAAAATGCTAAATCGTAATTTTACCGTGTAAACAAAACGGTTTATAATCGAAGTATTGTAGTTCATTTATTTCACTATATATGAAAAGTAAGGATTCATATTTGAAACCGTACTATTCATTTCTCAAAACTGGTGATTTTAAAACAATCAAAAAGACGTTATTTAAATTATTTCTAAATATACATCACAAGACATTTCAAATATACATCATATTCCTCCTAGTTCGGATATGCATTGTGGGATTTCGAATAACTAATGGATTTCGGACACAAATAATGGATTTCGAATATAACTGATGGATTTCGAATACAACTAAAGAATTTCGGACACAAATAATGGATTTCGAATATAACTGATGGATTTCGAACACAAATAATGGATTTCGAATATAACTGATGGATTTCGAACACAAATAATGGATTTCGAATATAACTGATGGATTTCGAACACAAATAATGGATTTCGAATATATCATGGATTTCGAACACAAATAATGGATTTCGAATATATTGAATCTGATGTAGATCTAATAAAGAAAAGAAAAACAACAGTTATCATAATATTGATAACATTACACAAGCATATTGCAATGTTTTACGATCTATATTCAAGATTGAACAATACAACGTCATAGATGCATGTGTAACAAACATTCTCGTGTAAAACCGTAAGAACACATCACGTGATTTCAAAAACACAATTACGCATGTACGAATTACACATATAGCACAACAATAAAGACATGCGTGCAAAACGCGTGTTACTCACAATCGCCCCGACCTCCAGCTCAGAGACGTTTGAATGATAAGATATAAAGTTAGACCTGTCCTATATATCTTGACCAAAATACATCAATTTCACGTGTACGGGTCTGTCATAACATTTTTCAATGTTTGTCAACAACACGCTGACGTATTCTAATAACTTATATAGTAACGCTTGACCAAACTCAATAACGCGTGTATGATTTATGGGTGATACCAACAAGGCGATGACGGGTGGTGGGGCAGAAATATCAAACAAGAGATGACCATTAGGTAAACGGACATGCTAATATTGTCTCTGGATTCAACACTGACGAGCGATCGATAAAGCAAATTGTGAACTCTCTACCCCAGAGATGTAAAATTTTATCAAAAAGGAAATTAATCAGATTTAACACAGACTCCTTAACACACAGCACATCTATCTCTGTGGATCTGAAACAGATTTACTGTGTACTTTGTATTTTTTGTGATATTTTTAGAAATAATTCATCATATTTACTGAAGTTTACAGAACATAAAATTCCTAAATCACAAGAAATAAGGGGTTTATTTTTTTTTTCCAAGTCTGAAACACCTCATAGCGCCAATCAAACAAACAGACATTCTTACATGAGTGTCGATGAAACACGTAATTTATAAATGATTTGAAAATGTGGGTGACGTACTAAATTATTTAACGAGTTTAGTCAATCCTTATCACATCGTCACGAGTGTAAGATTTTATCTTATCATATAACCCGTATTTCTTTTTTTTTAAACAGGCGAAAACTCTCCATTGACCGTATGACACAACAGGCCAGTTATGAGATAGAAAATTTCAAATTACGCTCGAAGTAAATAATATATTGTGCACTCAGTTCTAAACGTAACTCGGCGACATAACTCTGATTGCGTGCAACCTTTTGATTCGTTCGAACAGTGGCACGATTCAGATTATATGCATATACATGACACTATTCTAAAATTATCTGATATATGAAAATTATCAAATGTATTTAATTATGGGGCTGCAGCACCTCCCCGTCTAGATTTTGACTTTTTGTTTATTTTCCTTTGTCGCCTCCCAGGCTTCAAAATTTAGGCCCGTGGCAACACTGCCAAGTCCTATTAGGGCGAAACAGTTGTATGACGCAGTTTACATTACTGTTTGGCTCAACTGTATCTAATTCTAAATTTGTATTTACAGGTACTATAGACTTGTGTGCCTTTTGCATCAACCTCTAGATTGGGACGATGCTTACCAGAACCTTTCTACTGTCAGAAACAGCTGCAGTGCTCGAGAGAAGTAGAAATGAATACACACAGAAAACACACATGATGATACCAGACGTTTGATTACGTTTATCCGTTAGTCTGTGATCATGCTTTTGGTATTTTTGGAGTATTTACCGTTTTAACGACTGGGTTGCGCTGCGTACAGAACGATTCCAGCATCGTCTACCCCCCATGCAAGTGTGCTGCAGACCATTAGACAGAGGTCTGGAACCGATGCAGATACTTGATCCAGAATATATTGATTCAATATACAATGAGGGCTGTAAATATATGCTATCACGCAGCAGAACTATTGCCACACTCTATAATGATAGACACACGCAAGGTTAACTAAAACTCAATTATCAACGTGCGAGAAAGGGCTTCTCCCTAATAGAGAGTCAATCCCGATTCAAATGGTCATGCTTTTAAATATTAGAGTTTAAGGTATTGAATTTTCACCTTTTTATTGCATACAAAAATAAACAATCTTTCCATAAAGACCTGTTGTCATGGTTATTCTGTTCCTCAACTTTTAGCAGTGACGTTGGTTAAAAGTACAGCGATCAACAAGCGAGTCCCGTGTCTTGTTCTCATTAAAATTCGGTGGAACTTTTAGAATTTCTCGCCACACTTAAACTTTAAATTATGCGATCAATTGTTTCAGCAATAAAGTTGAAAAGGACTGTTTAAAATAAATTGTAGATTGAACAATCTTAATTCAACGTTATTATATCGAAAAGGATGAGAATGTCATGCAGGAACAGATGATAACCAAATGTGCTTATATAGTGTGAAAACTGAGCAAATTGATAAATAAACTTTGGATCTGTAGTAAACGATACATTGTATAATGCTAGTCTCGTCAACTATATGTCACACAGCTGCTACAGGGAACGACAACAATTAGAGACCGGGATCCATATTTAAATGCCATCTAATGTCTAGATGAGCACGTGTTGCTGAAACGCATTAGCCCTCGCCCCCTCCGGATTTAGAGATATTTTCTGAATACAAAATAGAACCTTTCTTCATTTGTTCTTCGTTGTCTCAAAGTTTCTTTATTCTCAGTGGTGTAAACTCCATACACCCACATTAATGCAATTCACCTGACAGTAGAGAGTTATCTCCCCCTATAGTTATCTCGCTATAAAATGTTATACCTATTTAGAACATCTCAAGACATATGTCAGCTTTATGTCTTATTAACAGCTTTATCCATTATAAAAATACCTTTATATATTGTAAATTATTTACATTGATATACATATAATATACATACATATGAATGTATCACTTATATACAAACTTTCCGCTATCATAAACACCTGTTATCTAAAGTTTTACTTTCCCGATACAAAATGTACATTCATGTACTTAAGAATATAATTTATTTCTCTATAAATCAACTTCTGAAACGCTTTAACATTTTGATCTATATATAACTCGGTCGTTTTCCCAACTTACTCTCCTTACATGTATATGAATTTTACCCTTCTTAACTTCGAAATGTATTTCCTGTGCACGGTTTTCTATAATTATCTTCGCACATGCACATTACTTAACGAGATCGATCATATTATCGTGACGCTGGTATCACGGAGTGTTGTCGTGATTTTAACTTTATCGCTCTGATAGAATGTGGCAAGCCTCCAGCATGATGTCCAGTGATGTAGCCACCACAGCCATATGCACTACAAGACGACTTCGCCTAACAAATAAGAGCATGTTTTTCGGGGCAGACGGTAAATATTAATCTGTCTGTCATTTGCGAACAGAAACTGAAGATGTAGTTAGCGGATTAATGCAAACTGCGCGGTTTTTTTGTTTTGTTTTGTTGGGTTTTTTTTGTTTTTTTTATTATTATTTGTCTTTTTTTTGTTTTTTTTAGTTTTTTATATATATAAACCAAAAACATGTTCTGACACATTCCTTAAACATAAAATGGTATATCTCCTTCAGATATATTTACTATTCTCGGTGTTAAGACCGGCTGACCTTTTTTACGCGCCCTGAACAAAGTAAGTTCCAACTCACCGCATGTTGAACTATGTTTCGGCAAAGATTCGCCTCCAATTTCCAGTTTACAGACACACTTTCTTTTGTGCGACCTTCGAGTTTCCTCTCCCGTTCTTTCCTCCCATGACTGCGTTTGCGACTGCATTTTCGATGCGAGTATGGTGATGTTACTGTACCAGCAACGTATAGGTATTGTACTTTGTCAACGGTCGTCTTGGTTTCGCAGGAAATGTATTCTTTCTAAAAGTCCAGTATTCAAATATAATTTGAAATTATCAATCGGTGTGATAGCTGTCTTTTATCGTCTTTAGACAGACAGAATTAATCGTTAAGACTGTGCAGGTTTCTGTCATCCACACGCTACCCGTTCCTTTTTTATAATGCCAGAGAGAATCCGTCACAGTGAGAATGTCCGGATGTGTCCAGATTTATGAAAAAGATCACGTGAGATTTAACGAACGCGTATAGATTACGTCACAGAATTGTACTCATCGTTCCTAACGAGTATCGATCATCTATAATTGTATCGTGACTCGTTAGGAGTGTTCAGAGCTGTAAGCACTTGGATGGATCGATGATAAGTTCCGAAAATTGGAGATCAGCTACCGTGAAGCCTAAAACCGTTCGTCAGCACTTT